TTTACAACAACAGGTACTATTTATTTGTTTTAAGTAAACAAACAGTTTTTGTTTATTCTAATTAGAACAAAGAAGGTGCAATTGACCATTTTTAAGCAAAAGAAGAGTCTTACAACAAATACTTTAATAAAAATGTAATTTTAAGTAAGATTAACATGCATTTCTCCTATATGCTTGATTAGCAAACCTTAACTTCAAAAAATCATATCTTGAAAACTATTCGATATATTCTTTTGAAAATTTGGATTACAACTAATAAAGAGATGCTCTATACGATGGTAATAATGAAAAAAAAATACTTGTAGGGTTTTTCTTAGATTATTTCGATTTACTTCGAACTTTTTCGAAGAAAACTTTGCCAATGTTCAATTTCAAATTTTATATCATCCTAAAGGGCAAGTCCATGCCTTTTAAATGGTCTTTATTTGAAGAAAATCGGCCTAATAGTTATTGAGTAATGATTTTTTAAAGTTAAAGTATTTTAAATTTATTTAAATTAGAAAAAAATTATTTAGTTCAAAGTGTGTTTTTTAGTGCATTTGATTTGTCTCACTAAGACGAACAAAATGATATAAAATTTGTCAAGTTGTCACGACATTACTGTTTTTTTGTTGCCCTGTGTTATGATCTTGTAATTCTGTAGGTAATTTTTAACTATAGTTTTTTTGTGAATTTTTGTATTATTTTTTCATTTAGAAAACAAAACTACCAAATGAAGCTAATGTTAATTTGTATTTCCTCTTCGCCTAAATCTCGTTCGGTTAAATCCGGATTAAAAGCTTAACAAAAGAAAAAAGCAATTTCTTGTTCATAATAAATCCGCCGATTATTCGCCGACACCTCTTCGTATTTCGCCCGAAGCCTAAGAATAATGTAAACGATTAAAAGTTGGTAATGAGCGGTAATGCATTTGGAACGATGGCGTCGGTGGCGGCGGCGTAGAGAAATTTTTCGCCGGTAACAAGCTCATATATCTTGAAGGAAGCTCCTTAAATTATTCATTCCATTATAAAACTCTTAAACGCGGATTTAATATAAGTCCCACCGTAAACGTGTCTTGTATCCGGCGGCTCGGTAATTGGCCGATGCGCTGCTGGCAGTTCCTCACTAAGAAAGCACTCGAAGAAAAAGTCAACAGACGAACGAATCTGCATAGAAAATCAACGAATTACAATACCAGATGCGAATAAAGAAAATTGTACATCTTTCCAACTGCGTATCATTGTCAATCCAATTTTTAAAAAGCTTGAAAGCATTTCTTCCTGAAAACTACGAGACTTATGGCAAAAATAAAAACAAAGCGTCATTTTGTGTCGAGGTTTTGGCGAATTTCAACATATTGTGTGATGTTCAGCGCGTGACTTTACCTCTGCAGAAACTATATTTCGAAAGTTCTTGTAAAAATTTGCTTTTTCCAAGATTGTAGAATGAAATTTTGTGATAGCCAAAATTAAAAAAAAGGTTTTTTTTCTTATTAATGTTATATTATAATCAGGGGAGAGTGGGACAAATTCACAAACGGGGCAAGTTTACAGAAACGATTTTCACTAAAACCTATTATACACACTTTTTCAAATAGTTGTGTAGTTAATGCTTGTTGGTCTTCAAAGTGTAGTACACTGCAATCAGAAAACAATAAACATTTTCGGATATGTGTGCTTTTGATGCAGTGTTGTGAGTTTCGGGGTTTGGAAAACAAAGACTTTAAAGAAAGTTCTCTTGTTTCTGTAGTGTAGATATTTTTTACAGATGTGTAGCATGCGTTAATAAATAATAATAAATAAATAAAAGATCTGAAAGCCAATGTTGAAGTGTAATCTCGGGTTTTTTATTTTCAATAAATTACGTTTTTTATGAAATTTCATGAAAAATGTTGTTCGATACACGTGCGCTGTCCTTCGACCTCCACTGCAGCACTCAGCTTCGCTTCGAGCCGCAAAATTCGGTCTCAGACCTGAAAAATAATTTGACAGCGCCCTTGTATCGAAAATAATTATTGGGGACTAAAATGAGTCCGCAAAACAGCTATTTTGGGGAGCGTATACAAAAAAAATGATTTTTTGGAAATATTTTTGTTACCGTTTATCCGATTATTATGAAACTTTGTATGTTAAGGTACAAAAAGGCACTCTTTGACATGGTGTAAATAAAAATCTTGTAAAATTATACATTCATAGTTTTTGGGGCATAACTTTTTTTGGGCCTAACTCGTATTTTTGATACCAAAAATTGAAAGCCTATAATTTTTTCATAAAGCAGGTACTTGTTTCATATCGCCAAAATGTACCGTTCTTGAGTTATTTTAATAAACTCAACACCGCGCTGCAAAATCAGAAAAAAAAGAAAGTTGAAAATTTTAAGAACCCATTTCAAATGTTTTTGTTGTATGTGATACCTACGTATAATTTTTTTTGTGCAAATGACATAAAAACTTAGTTGCGTTATTTTGAACGTTTAAAAAAAGTGACACTTAACTGTTTTTTATTTGATTTCTCTCAGCTTTGTCAATTTGCCCCAATTTCTCTACCTTTCAATCTCGTGAACACTCCTCAGAATTAAAAAAAATCGACCACAATTGCTAATAAGTTTAGTAGTTAGTTACTTCTCGGCTGGAAAAGATCATCTCAGCTTTGAGTAAAATGAAGCGAGTTGTGCCGTGGGACCGCAGAAGCCAATTATCCGAGATTTTATAAACTTATAGGTTTCAGAATGAGAAGTAACGCGACAGTTGGAGAAATTAATCTATCCTCTGGAAATAAAATAAAAATGCGAAACCGTCTACTGACGTTCCATTATTCCTCATCCCATTACACCAGAGACGTGCTTATAATCGCGCTCAAAATGAGAAAAAGCATTTTCACAGGGTAATGGAGGGTTTAGTATTACTAGAAAATGAAAAATGCAAGACGCGCCATATTAATAGAAAACGTTATCTCTAAAACGGAATGAAGGATGTATTCAACAGGAACTAATTCGACTTGTTCCCTGCGATGGAACACCTCAGGGCAATACACCTTTTACTCTTACTTTTTAATTATCAAGATTCCAGTCAGGCGGATAAAAAAAGGTGTCAGGTACAATTTTGTTTAAAATTTTATGAGAGAAACAGTTTTAGTTTTAATCTGGAGCATATTCCAAGCTCATTCCTTTGAGAATTTTCCTAACAACCCATCAGTTTACTCGCCATTCTAATCCTTCCAATATTAACCTTCAAGCGTCTCGTTCCATCCTGAATTATTACCTCTCGGTCCCCCAACACTCGACATCCCGACATAAATTACTTGTATTGGTCCAGAAATCAGAACAGATCCCACCAGAGTGCCACAAGAATTGCTTAACGTTGGTTTGTTACCTTGCACAACTCTGGAGGGACCTCCTCGCTATGTCCCTCGAGACGAAGAAATGAGTCACAAAATATTTACGCTGATTCAAAGTGCAACAGCATGTCCTCGACCACCGACAGGATGAGAGTAAATCGTTAGCCACTTAATCCAAACAAACAGGTTTGTGTTTATTGTTGGTATCGAGTCGGGGATTGGCCCGGACTAAGCCGGATGATGCTGAAATGTTAGGTATTGGAAATGGGCAATTCGGATGTGTTTAGGGTGGATAACACTGGCTGGGTATTAACAAAAATTTGAGAAAATTATATCCAAAACATTGAAAAATGGAATTACTCAAAAAATAGTTTTTAAAAAGCACCAACTGGCAACATGCCTAAGTTTTAGTCAAAAACCCTCGGCCTACTTCACAATTTATTAAATGAAGATTCAACGGAAATAAGATTTTAACACAATTTTCGGTTTAATTCCATGTAAACGAAAGCGTCCAAAATTTCGATAACTTGTTCTTAAAATCGTTCAGTGAAAAGGCAGTGACGTTGATTCAGTAGGTTTTTGCCACTGACCCTCCAGCATCCGCACCAAAGAATGGCCCTATCGTCTCTAAATTGTCCAAGTGGGAAGATTACAATAAAAAATGTGGACCGGTCATTTTTCCGCAAGTCGTAACAATACGCGATAAATACTTGGCTTTATGGAGAGAATTTCGTGTGAATTCGAGCCGAACTAACAATGAGTAGAGAGAGGGACAAAGTGCCGGCGATTCCGGGACCGGAAATGAAAAGTCCCCGACGCACCGGATGTCGATATCATCGGCCGGAGGCTGCGGCGTTTAAAATGGGGCTTTTTGAATGAACTGAAGACAATAACAATACGGAGAGATCGGACCGAAGCGATGGGCGGCTTCGGCGTGTTTTTAAACCAAAGATTTTGCTTTGTTGGGAAATAATTCAAATACAGGTTTAGTGAAAAGAATTGAAGTTAAAATAATAAATTAAAGCTGCATACTTACAGACAGCTTAAAAAAAAGCTTGGATATCTAAAATATTTTTACTTAAAAGATCGGTTTTGAGTAAAATTTTTGGAATTAGTTTTCTGTTTTATTTTATTGAGACAAAAAAAATTTTTAAACATTTTTTTTTATTTGCTACAATTAATTGTGACGAAAATAAATAATTTTGAAAATACAAGATTTTTATTTTTTCAATAACTATAGCAACTAACAGTTTGCGAGGTCATGAGAGGAAAAAAATTAGAATTTGATAATTGAAATTGGATTAAATTTAATGTTTGGAATAATAGTGACAGCCAGTTTTGGTACACATTGCACGCTTCCAGCAGCCTCAACTCTCCAACTTGTCGGAATTAGGAAAATTGAAACATCAAACAAATATCAATATCTCCGAAATTTTGGCAAATTGCCGAATATAATCCAATATCTGATCCCCCAAGAGTCATTTAACCCCCTCTTGACACCACTTCGCAACGCCCATCAACCTTCACCTATGACTTAATGAAATTAAATTCTCCTGCAGTACAATCAATAATATTATTACGACGACGGGGCTGCACTCACTGACCCTTCTACACACACAGAAACTCACTTTCTTTCTCAATAATAATTAATTTTTCCAAAAATAAAAATAAAAATAGACTCACCAGTCGTTTCCTGTTTTGGCAACGTTCTGTCTTTTTCGTCCCGTTTGATGGGGCTTCGGCTCTGCCACCATATTAACATCTGCAACAAAAACACCATTAGAAAATTAAAGTGTAAATTTTACCCTTCTTAAATAAGTTAAATTTATTTTCAGCGAACGTAAACACCGACTGCTGAAACATTAATGCTAGTGTTATTTTAACTTGATGATAATTTTTTAATGCAAATTTTTCGATTTGTTAATTAATCGAGTGTAGGATGATGCAAAGCTCGTTCACATAACGATGTGTTTTATTGAATTTAGCTCGGGACTCTGTTGCTTCTCGCAGACTCTTTCAAGTTAAGCAGAACCAGGAACTAGTTACTGAAACATTGCCATGCAAATTGATATTCGATTTTACACAAATTGAATCGTTCTACTTCGGACTGATTTTATTAAGAAGAACACGAACGAAATTTCTATTTTGCAAACACGGATGCTGGAAATAGAGTAAAAGTGAACGAAACTCATCGCGTAAATGTGATTAGCTTAAAAACAAATTCTGATACCTAATAATATGTTTTCACTTGAGTTTTACACAAAAATGTATTAAAATAAAAAAACGTGTTTTGTGATGTTTCAACAAATAAAATGCGATCATAAGACTAGAAAAGTTTCAACTTTATTGGGTTTCTTTGTAGAAAAAATACTTTAAATCTAGAGAAAATACAAAAATAAAGCATCTAGATCTAATTTTTGCATTTCTTAAATCTAATGTGTTACTTGTTGAAAAACACTTGAAATTGAGAACAGTCGAAAATAACTCACTTCAGATCTAATTTATTGATTTTCGGTTTTATTTAGACCAAACTTCTCAGTGAAAAAAAGCGAAAAACTTGCAAAATAAACAAAAATAGCTTGTTTCAGCCCAATTTTTTATTTTGTCTTGTTTTGGTAAAATCTTTTTAGTGCTCATTGGTAAAAAAATTGTCACAGTTTTAGTACTATGTTACTCTCGCATATTTACATTAACGTAAACATAACATTCAAATATGTACCTACTTCTTTAATTTTAAATTTAATTGACAAATAAAAAAAATATCTTCAAAACAAACATTATCTATTTATATTAAAAAACATATGTAAAGCCAAATCTGTTATTTAAATATTTGATGAAATCGGGTTAAAGTTTCACAACTTTTCTTTTTTTTTTAAAGTTAAAGCGAATTTGAAAAAATATTTAAGAATGTATTATTTTTTTATTAGATTTATCCAGGCTGTATTATAAAAAACGCCCCAAGCCATAATTTCATTACTTTTAAAGGCTTTATAATACTTTTTTGCTCAAAGTTAAACAGTTGTCAATTGTTTGCTTGTCTAAGATAAAATTAATAAAAATGTTCAATCCTTTCCCTACTTAATTTAATTTAATTTTCAAATTGCCAAAAATCAAAAGTTAGTGATCAATAATAGTATGTGAGCTTGTTGAAAGGCAATTTAATGAGGAATCTAAAAATGATAAAATACACAGGGTGTTACATTAAAACAACTGAAATTAATGTCACTTCCGGTGAAACAGGAAGCAGCATTGATTGAGCATCTATGCCAAACAATAGATGACAAGACACTATTCAACTTTGTTTAAAGAAGTATTGTCATATCTTTAAAAATAATCGTGTTGTGGCTTGAGGCGTTTTTTATAATAGGTACAGCCTGTGTAAGCCATTAACAATAAATTTTTGAAAACCATAGGCTAATTGCCTTTATGGCATGATAAATAATAACTCACTTTTTAGAGTGTATGCAAATGTCGAACCTAAAATTTTGGACGCAGTTTGGTAAAATTTTGTACTTTCAACAAAAAACAAACTTAAAAGTTTTCATGACACAATTTGTGTCCTTAGCAGTGTAAAAGGTTGATTAAAAACAGGCATTGATCTCAACTAAAATGAAAGCAGGGGCACCGACACAGAGACGGAACAAGGTATGTTTTATTTTTTATTCACAATCGTAAAGTAATCAAATTACTTTGCATGTGAAAAGTTGGAAAGTATGACATTTCAACTTTATTGAATATGGGTGCAAAATGGCTACTTCCTAACTCGAAAACTGATAAGGAAGTGACCACTTCCCAACCTGGAATGTCATATGCCATGTTTTTCAAAATTTGATAAATCCCTTATTGGCTTTCTTTTTTTTTTAAGAGGATGATTGTGAATAAAATAATATACAAACATTGGTGGTCGCTTCGCGCCTTGGTCATCGAATTTCGCCTTAGTAATAAATATTCTTTATTCTTTCTTTATTTCCACCTCAATATGTAATCTATCTAATTTGATACTAAAATTTATTTTAAGTTTTTTTCTCACTTTTGTGTAAAAAGAAAGTAATAAACTAATGATTAAATTAAAATTCAACAAATGAAGTCCACGGATGTAATTATTACTACGATAGATGAAACTCAATTTTTTGTTGAACAGGATACGGAAGTGGAAAATTGTGACCGTTTTTCAGAACAGCGAAAATTATAATCCAATAGATCCAAAAATTGTGTAGTACAATTTTTGGCAATTTCGTTAATGGTATTTTAATATAAAATATGTGTATGAGAAACTTTAAAAGGTCATTTGGACTAAAATGCCCTTAGAGAATATTTCTTTTGTTACATTTAAATACATTTAACAAAAAAAAAAATTGATTTCTGAAAGATGCTCGAAATCGTATGCAGTAATTTTTTTATTTTGTACTCAATGTTAAAGAGTGCTTTTATTAACTAATTTCAGTAGATAAAGTAGTCTTTTATCGTCTACTGAAATAAAATAATTTTTATCTACTGTTATATTCAAGAAATTCTGGTAGATGAGTACAATATTATACACGTGGATAAAGATTGTTTATCTATTCGTGAAAGAAGTCCACTCGTGGCTTCGTCACTCGTTAACTTAACCTTTTGACTCGTAGATAAACAATTTCTTTATCGTCTTGTATAATAAATAACTATAAGACTTTAAATAAATTAAGCACAAATAAATGTTAATTACATACAATGCAAAACAAAAATTTGCATTTTATAACTTTTTCGTTACAAATTTTTAAAATAAATGCATATTTATGAATTGCGAAAAATATTTATTAGATTGTAATTTTTCACAAAAATTAATCAACATTGATTTCGCACATTTTCCAGTCGTTTGCATATGCCAGGTGTCTCTGAATCGCCAATATTACACTTCTTTTTAAACGAAATATTGTAAATTAGGCGAATATGTAGTAGATTTTCGGGAAAATCTCCGCTGAGGCAGCTTGTATAGTTTAGTTATCTACACCTTCTCTCGCCTTTGAAGTAGTAACAATAGAGCTTTTATTGTTCATCGTTGGCTGTTAAATCGTCGTTAGACACAAAGATATTGGAAATTAACATCTTGGAGGTAATCCCGCGAAATATGTAAGATAATGAAAGGTAACTAATTCCCTCACCTCGCAGGCAGAACGAGTTAATGGCTTTTCAACGTGGTTCGAATAACAAAACTTGAGCGTTTTGCGAGATGATATATTGTCCAAGAGTTTTCAAAGTGTATTATAATCCCATCTATTCGAAAAAAGAAAAATTACATCTTGGATGCTTGTCTTGTCACACTAATTATTTTTTGATTCGCTTTAAGGATTCTTGTAATCCTTGAAGGATTAAGACTAATCGCTGCTGGTGTATAAAGAAGATTTTTTCCGGGGATTAAAGGCGACAATAATGTAAACATGTTTCGGGTCGATTGGTGTTAAGGAAGGTAGGAAGGAGTCGTGACCCGGTAGCAAATCCTGCTGTTTCATAAATTTATATCGAGTCGGTATGAGATAGTGATCCTCTAAAGCCGGCCCTGAACGATGAACAAAACCTAATTGTAATCGTCTTGGCAATCTGCACACGTTCGCCCTCCTCACCAGATGCGTTTCACTGGTATTAGCATTTTACGCGACTAACTTACCTCGTATTGGAAAATATTATTTGTTTCTGTCAAATATTATAATTTATTACCGGCGTCGGCGGAAGCCAGGTATGCCGTAATTAAATTCCGCCAAAGCGCGCACTTAATTAGATCAACTTTTACATCTTGAAGGTTTCATATACGATTTTTTCTCCGCTTCCAAGAATAATTTCACTAAACGTTCAATACGTCAACGCTTCCGGAAAGTTACAAATCGGAAGTGGGCGTAAGTTGGCAGACATGATGAGGGGTAACTGAACCGGAACCGCATCAGTATTCATGGCCTTCTTGTCGCTTGCAACTCGGACCACTCGAACTTACAGGTCAACCGCTGTCAATGCTTGTCTCCCAAGTAAATTGCTTCAGTTGCGGCCGTTTCAACGTGGCCTTGAGCCATTTCAGGACGTGGACCGCTGAAATTAACTTTGCTCTACAATCCGATGTAGATTTCATGGAAGTCTTACACTGATTCTTTACGTTTACTTTGAGATTGCTCTAAATATCAATTTTATTCAATTTCAACTAAATTTGTTTTAAAGTTTTCAGGAAACTTATCTTTTATTTTACTCACTTGTAAATAAAGTGCCTAAGAAGTGTTTATTCAAAAAAAAGAATTACACAGAAACAGAACAGATTCTAGGATTTTTTTGTCAGGTCAGGTCAAGTCAGGTCAGCTTATACATAGTATTTTTTTATTCAATTTCAAATTTGTTTTTTATTCTTCGACACTGTCAAAATTTACGGTTTTTCTCCCGTGTAAGGAAGTTTTGACAACTGTTTGGTATTTCTCAATACAAAACGTCAAATTATTTTTAACAGATTTAAAGCAAGTTTAAGCCTTGTTGACTCTAATTCGAAGAATAAAATGTTGTATTCCACTCGTTTGAGTGTAAATCGGACGCTTTATTCCACCTCGTGGATGGTAAACCACTCGTGGTTTAAAAATCCACTCGGTCAAATAAAGAGTCCGATTTACACTCAAACTCGTCGAATAAATAACTATTACGAAACTTATCTTTTATTTTACTCACTTGTAAATAAAGGGCCTAAGAAATGTTGATTAAAAAAAAAAAAGAATTACTCAGAAACAGAACAGATTCTAAGATTTTTTTATGTCAGGT